TCAATTCTCTGCAACACTGTATTAAAATCACCTAAAAGAAAAAAAAATTCTTGTTTGTCCATTAACATATTCAAGCTTTTCTAAAATTCTAATTTTTCTTTTTCTTCATTTGGTGCATGAATGTTGCACACTTTTATTTCTTTGCCTTTATATATTAATTTAACTATTATAATTCTACCATTCGTGTCTTTATATTCTACTTCATTTGACTCAAAAACCCCTCTTTTGATTAATATCGCAACACCCCCCTTCCTCTCCAAATCACAATTCAGATACATTTCTCCATCCCATAATTTTCTTATTTCATCACTTATTTTTTCTCCCCAAAATGTTTCTTGTAAACATAATACATCACAATTTTTAGTCAAATATATTAATCTCTCCATTTTCTGGTATTTTGTTAGTTCTCTGACATTCAACAAAACAACACAAAGAACTCATTAGTGATACAGTTTTCTTCTCTCCATTCTTTCCTTTTGTTCTTCTCTTCTTATCCTTTGTTTTTTTAAAACCTGTTCAGTGTTTATGCTTGTATCTTTCAATCTTGATTTAATACCTCTGTTCAAATGTCCTTTACTTTGCACTCCAAAGCTATTTTCCACCATTTCAGCTTTTCTTACCTCAAACAATGTCTTTGTTTCTTTACCTTCAGTTCCATCTTCTCCTTGTCCTTCATTGTCGTCTTGTTCAATGTCCTCTGCATGCTCTCGTTTTTCAAGTAAATCATCCTTGTTTACACATGCATCCTCTGTGTAAGGTCTTTTCTCCATATCCCTTCCATATTCTCCCCTCTTGCTCATTCCTGCATCCTCCTCTGGGTTATTATCCTCCTCTCTCCCGTCGTTTTGTTTATCTTCACCTCTGTCATTTTGCCTTTGTGATTCATTTTTCTTTTCATCTGTAGTGTCTCCTATTTCCTCCTGTATATCCATTCCTTCTTCTTCGTATTCCTCTTTATCTGTCTCACAACTGCATCTCAGCATGGTCTTATTGGAGCCTTGGCACCGCAGTTCTTTGCAGTCCTTGGCATAATGCCCCTGCACAAGACAATCTCTGCATGTAAAAAGAGGGCAATCCTTCTTCTCATGCTCTGTACTTGAACAGATTCTGCATGTCTTTACTTGATTATCATGTATAACTCTAAAGAATTGTGCTCCTTCCTCAGTCAAGAATTTTGTGTTGTATGGTAAAGATGTCACCTCTTGTGAAAAGTTTACCCTCAAGAACCGTGTTCCATCTGC